TCTTGGTAAAATTAGGTTTTCAAAGAACAGTGTGGAGTATCTTTAATACATATTTTTAATTGTTGTTTTTTATTGTTAAGGAAAATAGTTTGGATGAGAAATATGTCTTTTATGTTTGAGAATCTTTTCCCTGTAAAGCCCAAATCATCTATACAAAATGAAAGCATCTAATAGTTTTGCAGGACAGCATTCATTATTATGCATCTGTTCACTTTATATTAAATTAACCATGATTTTGCTAAAGAAAGTTCCAAATACTCTGCGTATACATTAGGCTGGAAAGGATTGGGACCAGATCATCATCCTTTCTTAGCACATTTTCCAACTTCAAGCAGTATAAAATGGATGCTTTTGGGATTTATGGAGGAGGCTGTGGCCTATGGAGATCAACACTATATCAATGTGTGCATATATCAGGAGGCTTGTTTCCCTCAGGCAAAACGGGCCAAAACGGCTTCTTCAAAAAGTCCTTCAGAGGAATTCAACACTCTTCAAATTCCCAGGCTTTTACTCTGTGATCACAGAACCATCAAACATTTAGCATAAACAGTCACCAGGCTCACAAGAAATACACCGTAAAACAAATCTATCTGCATATCTACTACGAGATATTTCTCTCAAATTTTAAAATATATAACAAACTAGAAGCAGAGGTCAGTAGCATGAATGTAGCACATCTAAAATAACACAAATATGGTCTGCTATGACTTTATTATTTCCGTCTGGGACATTTAACAAGCCCTGTGAGTGAATTGAGTTCTGTTTCTTCTTGTATGACTGTGTTTGTTCAGCCTCCCCGTCCGCCTGTCATCCCTCATCTAAAGTCCCCAGTAGTGACGGGTTGACCAACAACGAGGCCAGAAGCAAAAGAGCACTGGAAGCACTGAGGAGAAGTTATAGGGATGCACGTTTCAACCTCAGTCCTCATCCAGTACATGTAGGTCTGCATCTCTGACTGTCAGAGAAAACCTATCTAAAATGGTAAGACAGTAAAGAGCACGGGTTTATTTTTTTACTCTGGTAGCCAAGGAATGTGGAGAAGCTCTCAAAGCTATGTTGCTCTTACTGCATTATTGAGACAATTGCATTATCATAGCTCCCTTGTCATTTCGACCTAACCACCACTCCCAAAAATAATTGTGGAATTAATCAAAACAAACAATGTGGTATAATATTTTGGCTAAAGTTTGAGAACACCAAATACAACAGAAATATCAATGGGTTCAAGGTATGATAGCTACTAAAAGAATATAAACTAGTCACATAGTTCTAGGACATCGATTTTCTTACAATCAATAAATGATTAAACTATAAAACTATCAACTTAAGATCTTAAAGGAGTCATACAGGGAAAAGATATTACAGTAAAGTTCTATCAACTAGATAAACATCACCAATTCTTTACTGGGCCGGTCCCTCAAAGCTTCTCATACTACGACTATGCTGACGATACCCAGCTCTACAGGTCAGTCCCACCCAATGACCACACGATGACCACATGTCAGGGCGTATCTCAGACCGTCTCTGTGCTGTACTGTGAATAACTATTGGTATAGAACCTGGTGGCCTGTATGGCCTTCAATCAACCTAAAAAAATCCCACATGAACCCCCAGAGTCCTTAAGGGTACGGCTCCAGTCTACCCGAATAATCTTGCGAAGTCTTATGTTGAAGCTTGGTCACACAGATCATCAAAGGATTGTGGTCCACTAGTACCGAGACCCGGGTTAAGACAATCCAGACTCTTTTCATGAGTCGTACCATGGTGGTGGAATGACCTCCTGAGTGCTACGAGAACAGGGGCGTCCCTGGCTAGCTTCAAGAAACCGGACTTTATGCCCCTGGTAGGGTCACCAATGGTAAAAAGACCTCTGGGAGAGGGTCCAGGTAACCCCTCCCCCTCAATCAGTGTCATTACGACATATTAGTGGCATTGATCATGTCTAAGACAGTTTGGACTTGTTTCTGCTGTTTTAGGTGAAATTTCCCACAAGTAAATTAACCGTTAAATCAATCATCCCTGAACTTTATGACGCAATTCTCATTGAAATGAAGGGGGCAGTATGAAAAAGTGTATATGTTGAAACTATTATAAAAAGTTTTAAATAGAAGGATAGAATTGTTCACATTCCATGCAAAACTTAAATCTAGTTTTTCTGTTTGTCTCTTCCATTTATTTATTTTTATTGTGATGGATGTCACCAGACATCCTCCATCCCTTTCTGCTTCCCGCCCTAAGATGAGACACGTTGGCAGCATGTTTGTTGTGTTTGTGTTCTGCAGCTACAAGCTCCTCAAAATGATTAAGAAAAACATTTTTATTTAATAACAGCCGAGCTTTAGCATGCATTCTGCAAATGACCACTGTGGGAGAAAAGAAAGAAAGAGAAGTGACACGGTAACAATGGTCGTTGATTGGCCTTAAAAAGTCCTGTTCCTCATGTGGCTTCTATTCCTTCCATGCAGGGAAATGCAGGCTTTTTTAGCTCGATACCGAAGAGTCAGTGTCGGATCTCGCTAATATTGTTGAATCTGAGGTGGAACTGCCGGCAGAGCACCAAAGGGAACGTTTAACTGAAAAATATAAGGCTTTAACATCAACATACAATACAAGGAGCGGTATGTTTAAGCTGTCAACACATTTTTAGCCACTTGGGAAATATGTTTCAGTCGGTAAGTAGTTTATCAGCTAACGTAAACAAAGATGTATTCTTTTAGCGTTGGATGGAAAAAAATGCACAAGTTTTACTCAAAACAACCTTAAAACGGAGCATGACCAAACCATATGCGGAGACAAGGACAAGACTATGAGGATTTTAAACCAATTTAGGCCAAGAACCAGGAGCGCTTGATAAATTTGAGTATACTATCTGGAGAATGTTCACAGAAAAACGTTCAGAAAAATGTCTGGTTGGTGCATAGAAAATATATTTTAGCGCTCAAAAATTAGAATAGCTGCAGTAAAAAATGACAGAAAAAGCCAAGTAACAGGTGAACGACCCCACTGATTAAAAGTGGATGGCCATTTAGAAAGAAATGCTCACAGATGTCGTCAAACAGCTTCTGGAGAGCCTGTACTTATCTGAAATTAGTGCACTTAAAAAAATAATTAAAAAAACAGCAGCAGGAACCGAGAACGATTTATCAAACACAATTTGGATGAGCAAATGAATATCGATCTGGAAGCGATGTAAAATTAAACTGTACAGTGGAGCAGCAGGCCAGAGGATAATAACTCTGAGCCTGATAGCTATCGAAAGCCTTAAAAAAGGACTAGGATTAAGAGAAATATCATCCACCAGAGAGGGATTTGTTTGTGGTGGGAGCTTAACCAGTGGAGGACAAGCTCAGTTTTTACTGGATAAGGCCCATTTTTAACATTTCAGCAAGTCTAATGACACTGCCATCAAATGGTTTAGAAAACTCGATCGTGACACGAGTTTAAATTGAGATAACTGGACAATAATCAGAAAAAAGAACCCATTTTAGAAAAGAAAGACTTGAAAGAAGAACGTAAATTCTGATTTGGTTGTTGATTAGCAAAGCAGCCACAGAAGCTATTTGGTCCTTGAACATATTAAGTTTGCATTGTTTACGGGATGAAAACTACTAGTGCACGCAGTCACACAAACTGTAATTCATAGCCTGAAAGGCTGGAATCACAACAACCAGGAGACACAAGAAAGATGGAGACAGAGCCCCACTAAATGCCAGAGTGAGGACACACAATGTTTCCTGTTCACTGACTCCTCTGCTTCCACTTTCCATTGAAAAAAACCAAGACAAAAATCAAAACAGTTAGCTTGTGGCTGGCATATTGCTGGTTGTTTCTAGTTTTCCTCAGAAAAAAAGCCGAGCCATGACAATGACAGGAAACAGACCGACAGACATCCAAGCTCATCAATTATGAAGTGCAAAAGGAGCAGGAGCCACTTCTGATGCACTAAAACTATTTCGACACATGCCGGTGGCCACAGTTATGAGATGAGAGAGGCCTACCGCTGTCCTGTGACTGGCCGAGCCACCAGCAAAACAAAAATCACTGACACAGTTTCTACTGTTTAGGCTCTGCATTCAGCAAAACTGCATTTAATATCTCATTTTATAAAATGTAATCATTCGTCCATTAGGTAAAATGTCCATTTTGGAGTATTAGCATTATGGAATTATTCCTATCCAAGCTCAAGAATGCTATTCTTTTAAAATGTTTATTTATACTGTGCATTTTTAATAATGATAATGTGTCAAAATGCTGAGACATAAACTAAAAAAGGTAAAAAATATTAGAAAAAAAGCTAGTTTAAGTGTTCTATACATGATCTCATTAAAACTATGATCTCAGGAGACGTATTCCAGGAGTTTTCCAGTGACCAGAGGCTTTCAGACTCCTCTCAGACTCTGACCTTGTAACCGTGATAAGTGCTGCTCGGTCTGCCAGTGTTCCACTGTCCATCCATCCTCCCCTTATCTCCTCACTCTGCTGTTATTGTCAAACCGGGGAGGGTCCATACGTAGCCCGTATGGACTGAGGCAGAAGAGGCAAGTAAATCTACTGGCTGTGGTTCAAGCTGTTGCAAATGGCCAAACCCCACGGACACGGAACCACAATGCGCCCTTGACAACAACAAGCGGCCCGTTTAATTTCTTAGCCCAGTGTCGCAGACCTGCCCACCACATCCATACAGCCAGACCATGAGAGAGGATGCTGACATTATTCTGCCTGCTTCCGCAGAGGAGCCAAACACTCGGCCCACCCCAAAAACCGGCGGCCCCGTGCCAGCAGACACGATGCGTAAAAGACGAATAAAAAAAAACCCCAATCCGGTCTCATTCTGAAAACCACACACGTGGCAAGTGTGTCGGCATGTAAGGTCACACGAAGTGCGCGGGTCGTGCCCGGGCCCGTTGGCAGGACCAGGGGAACGGATGACGAACCGGAAAACATTGCAGCTTTTTTTTTTTTTTTTTTGCGCCAGACGGTGGAGTGCGCAGGACGCTTACCTGTGGTGGAGTGCAGGCTCTCCAAGCTCCAATAGCGAGACAGGACCCCCCTCAGAGTGCCGCCCAGGCTGCCTCCACCTCCACATCCACCTCCTCCTCCGCCCATGCATCCACCCACACCGACGCCTCCGTCCACCATGCTCCCCACCCCGCCGCCTACCGGGCTGCCTCCGTCGGACTCGGACCCCGGAGAGAGCCCCGAGCTGCCGGTGCTGCCGCCGCTGCCACAGCTGCCCCCGGGCAGGGGCACGCCCCCCTCTGAGCCCTGCGGGGTCCGCATCTCTATCCGGACTCACAAACGGGGGGGGGGGGGGGATAGAAGTTCGCAGTGGGGGAATCAGGGGGGGAGATGGAGAAGGAAGAGGCGATGGAGTGGAGCAGGTGGGCAAATGGACAGAAAAGCGCCGCGATCGCAGTGGTGGGGAGGGGGAAAAAAGGGGGGGGAGGCAGGCTAATAGCTGGTCTCTGATAGACTGTATCTGCTAAGGTAAGCTTCAGCTGTCAACTTGGTGTCCCCCCCACCCACAAACAGAAGTCCTCTCCTCCCCAAAAAGCCTCCGACCGGTGCGCTCGATCCCCGGCTGGCTCCTCCGGCTCTGCTCCCTCAAAGCAAATGGTTGGACAGTGCTTCATTTCCTCACATCAACTCATAGCGTTTGTTTTTCTCTCTCTCTCTCCCTCTCTTCCCTCTCTCTCTCTCTGCTCTCTCAGCTGACATCAGTGGGGGTCCGCTAGGGGGGTTTGTG